CAAGAGAGTTAAATGGGCTACCCATTATCCTGTCATTAATGTGTTCCTGCAGGCTTTCACATGTGTGAAATGAGCATATATTACAGTTTATTCACAGAATAATTTAGTTCACATTTTTTTCATTCTGTGACAAAATAGCTTCTCGTAGTGATTATATTCTGTCTCTCTGGTATAGCCATTTGAAGGGAGCTGTATTTTAGATGGATTGTGTGACCTGGCATTAAAAGTCTAAACTGAGGGCAGCTGCAAGTACTTCAAGGAAATTTCTTGAGGACAACCAATGGACAGCAGCTAGGAGCACATCTGTGTCATGAACACTGAAGATTGAACCCTGGCAGTGGGGATTTTGGTTTTAAAGTTTATGCAGAGTAACACTGTATCCTCAATTATCCAAGGCCATAGTTCACGATATGCAGAGTTTAATGACTATATGGCTGTACCTTCAGTTTCTGCCTCATTTGTAAACTCCACTCTTTGAGTGGTGGTGCTACAGGTAAGATTACTGAAATAAATGAACTTGGTTTATGTAGTTGCCACTCCAGGAGGAGGTTAAAGGGGGGGGTGTATAATACATACAGAGCATAGCCTGTTGGCTGTGAAATTGCTCTAAAATTTCCAGTCAAGTTTTGTTTCTTATGTGAATAGTTTGGAGGATAGGAGCTTATCTGGTGTGTTTAACTTAAATTTAGGTGCAGTTCTTATATTGTTACTTCTCGTGAAAGACACGGATGAGTTTTAGGCAATGGACATCTCTTGTATGTCTGCAGAGCAATACTAAGGTGCATCTGCAGGCCAGACAGATCTCACAGCCTGGCAGCTGCAGCAGAAAGGATTACATGAACCCTCCATAATCTCTTCAATACAGTTTCAGACAGGTTATCCAAGGCCTCAGTGTTGAACACCATATTTCACCTGACTGAGTTAGCTTGAAATGTTTTAGGGCTCGCTGATTCCATCTTGGCTGCGGAGACGGCATGAAGGGACGTGGGACATTTGTGTACATTGACAACACAGTATGTCATTAAGTACCCTCTAAAACTGGTATAGCTGTAGGCATGCCAAGCTATACATATGTATATGTATGTGTACGCTAGTCTATGGGTGCATATTTATGACCTTTTGCTCTTGTGACCAGTGGCCAGATCTGCTGTGTACCAGCTGGCTCCATGCTGAAGCTTTTGCTTGAGAATTACTATAATAAATTGTGAAAACTGAATGCCTGGCAGTGCCTGATGGGCTACTGGGGGGGAGGATGTGTAGACCTGTCAGAAATACACACAAACCCCTCAGACTCATGACCTTCCTAACAGGGCTGAGCAGTCACTTCTGCTTGATGTGAGGAAGTTGCAGTTGGTGGGATGGAAGAAGGAAGCCTTACTCGAACAGTTAGGGTAATATGAGAGTGGCATTTGTTTCCAGGTAGATACAAAATTGTATAGGACTCACTTTACAAGTGAACTGTATGAAAATCACTTGAAAGGGCCTAAAATAGGTATTCTGTTACACTTTGAATTAACTGAGCTATTCTCTGGCCAAATGTGTTGCATAGACTGTTTTCTCCAATATATATTTATGGTGAACTATATGATTTTTCCCTTAGGGTAGATTTTCAGCCAGTCTAGATTATATGGTGGTTTTGTAATCTGAGCTGATGTTTAACATCTGAGCTGAGTCACCAGGTTTGAGTCCAAAGCAGACTAGGAACGCATGAGCACTTTCTTTCCTTTTCCCTCTCCCTCTCCTGTATGGCAACATCCCCTGTCAGATTTCAGCACAGTAATTTTTAGCTTTACCTTAAAACTTCTGAATACAGTTTCCAGAAGTTGCTAGTTGTGATTTCCTGACAGTGAGTTCAGAGGATGAGGTAGCAGACTGAAGTATCAGTTTCTTCCCTGCATGGCTCAGAGCAGGGCAACAAAGGAAAAGGACATCTAGATGAAATTCTGTCCTCTTTTGCTCAGTCTCGAGTTACTCCACAGATGAGAGAGAGAGTGGTTTTAGTACTCTGAATTACTTTTTGGAGCTTCTGACTCTTCTCCTAGGAGGCCAGCTACCTAGGACAGCCTGCCCAGTGTCAGATGTAATTTATTCTGGCACTCCTTTGGAGATGGTTTGAATGGGGAAGTCAAAGCATTTCTCTTCAAAGAAGATCTACAAAGTGCTGTGCCTTTCAAGATGCGTCAGATGACCTTCTTGGCAATTTTCTGGGTTAAAAAGGAAACCTGGTTAAAAGATCGTGCTCATTATAGGTTCGTTTCTGGAAACTGGCAAGTTTATTAAGTTCTTTCATCATCATTGCTTCAGGCTAAGCAGCTTCTAAGAGTATCCAGTGATTGTCCTATTATGAAAGTCCGGGGGGCTTTGTTAAAGGAGAAAGTAAGCAGATCAGCAGAAAAAAAAGTGTTTCTGAATTTAACGTGTCTCTTTGTGCTTCTGGAAAGAACAATTTATATTTCAAGACAGTTACTAACCGATTAGCTAAAGTTGAATTAAAGTAACTTCTAATTTTCTTCCATTTAAAAGGAAAGAAATTAAAGAACATTTAAGTGCTTCAACTGTGTCTAAGTCCTTTGTCAGTTATGATAGTAGTTTTCCATTATTTTTAATATCTTTCAAGAGCTCCCCAAATAAAAATAATATCCAGAACTGGCTGTTCAAGGAAAAACAGTGAATACAAATTTACTGTCAGATGTTCAGATTAGAAGAACTGGGGTGAAAAAAGAGAGACATCTTTCCCTTTTAATCTGACATATCCTGAGTATCCTTGTAATTAAAAGAAAAATGATGTCAGAAGTGTAATGATTTGATTTTTGAAGTTTATGACATCTGTCTTTTGGTTTTCATTCAATCACAAATTCTTTAGGTTTGGAAAGATCACTTTTTTCCTGCAAGATAGCCATCACTGGACTTATTTGTATCATCTACCTGTATAAGTAATTATTTAAAACATGCATACTTAATAAACACTCCCGTATTCTGGGTAGCAATATTGAACAGTTATGATTATATTTTAGCTGAAGGATCTCATCAGTTTTCTGCCTGGTGCTGATACTCAGAACTGTACAGTTATGTAATACAATGGTAATTATATTTTTGAAATATTGAACTTCATGATCTACTGCAATAAAATTAAATTCCCACTACATGATAGGAGATGATTAATTAATGTACTAAATCATCCTATAGACTTAGGATAAAGCCATGATCATGTAAGTGAAAAGGCCCTTATTACCCTCTACTTTCTTATCAGTGGAGAAAAATAGAGATCCCAAAGAGCTGATTTTTCTTGGCTCTTCAATACTGTGGCAGCTTTGATGTTCATCTTTATCTATGTGACTGAGTAGGGAGCATCCAAATGTGTTAGCTTGACTTGAATCTGACAGAATGTTAGCTAACAGAGAAAAATCCTGATCAGAGAGTGAAATACCTTCTGAGAGAAATTCTATTATGTGGATTGCAGGAAACTTGATGAGTAGAAATTCTTGGAAATATTCCAGGAAGAATAACAAGAAAAGGACATGTAGGCAGAAAGATGAAGCTTTTCTCTTATTTCTGTCTGTATAGAAAAGGATGCTCCACGTCAGCTTTATCTGATTTTATTATTTTGTTGGGGCTTTTTTATTTATTTTATTTTTTATTTTTCATAGACCAAATCTGTGTTTCCAAATAGTCATTGAAATATTAGAATACAGGCCTGGAAGGAAGCTATTGAGTTAAAGAGCTATCGAGTTAATCTCTTTGTCTCAGACAAAATCAGTTACTGATGATCTTGCTGAGTAAGTAGCTGTTGCATTTTACTGGGAGGGGCCCATCTGTCCAGCTGGCAGAGGGTACAGAGCAGCTTTAAAGGAGATTGAAAGCTCTTTAGTACTGAAAGCAGGATAAGTGCAGGGAGGTTAAGCATATGAGTGAACCATATGGTTAACCATCACCCAGCTTCATAAGCAGGTTTTGCAGCTGCCAGTAAATTCTGACTATTCTGCTTTTGCCAGTTGAAGACAGTGTATGTACTGGAGTCCTACCTTATCCCAGAAAATACACTATTTTTGAGTTCTGTGTGGAGAAAAATTCAAAAAATTCTTAATTTATTCAAGAAGCATATTCTTTTCTCAGCCATGTAGACCTCAGAGAGAGATGGTCAGTTTGGTCTTTGTACTGAACAAAGCCGTGTCACACAGTGTATAATTGGAAAACCAGCATGTTTTCTCTTCTTTGTACTGTTAGTGTGTTCTTCTGTATAATTACGTGGATTGCTTACCTCAGTGTGGGAGTGGCTTTGAGAGATAACACCAGGAACGTGTCCTAAGGAGAACAACAGAGCTGGTGAAGGGGCTAGAGCAAAGTCTTACAGGGAGGAGGCTCAGGGGATATTTCATTGCTCTTTACAGCTGTCTGAAAGGAGGTTGTAGCTAGTTGGGTGTCAGTCTCCTCTCCCAGGTAACAAGCAAAAGGCCCAGTGGAAACAGCCTCAAGCTGCCCCAGGGGAGGTTTATACTGGATCTTAGGAAAAATTTCTTTACCAAAAGACTTGTCAGATATTGAAACCCTCTGCCCAGTAAAATGATTCTGCATCCATGGAGTTATTTAAAAGATGTGTAGATATGGGACTTAGGGAGATGGTTTAGTGGTGAACCTTTGAGTGTTCGGTTAATGGTTGGGCTGGATGATCTTGAAGGTCTTTTCCCACCTCAATGATTCTATGGATGGGGGAAGTTTGGGGGTCAGTTGGGCAGGACAGTTCTTGCTGCCCAACAGACATACAGCAACAGAGACACTGGTGCAGAGCACTCCCCAAGGGCTCTCCCTGCTGAGCCTTGGCCTGTGGGCTTCTGCAGTGCCCAGCTCCTCGCCTTGCTCCTCTTGTGGGTGATGTGATGTTGCAGTGCAGTGACATGAAGCCAGTCCCCCAGTGAAATGGGTTAATCACCACTTCCCCAGCAACACCCCCAGCCACCCCCTTAGAGCACAGATCTTGTCCAGGGTGACTGGTCATGCTCTCAGGGCCAGCCCTATGGAATTGTTTTACAGTAAACGCTGTGGGAAGAGGCTGTTAGCGAGACCCGTAAGCCACATCAAAGATCACTACATAAACAAGAAATGAATCACTGTTATGAGTAAGATAAACAAGGCAGCATGGGAACGCTGGTTTGTTGTACGTGGTGGGGTGGGATTTTTTTTTAGTTATTCCTGTGCTGGCACTCTGACTTCCATTCATGTATTTTTATTTTTTTTTTTAGGCTATTGAATATTTAACTGTATGAAAAGGTCTGATGTTTCTTTTCAATGTCCTTTGCTGAAGAAAGTTGGGCAGGGGATTTTTCCTATCTGTATGTTGTATATTAAGCGGAACTATTTCCCAGTTCTGGTCCCTCTATGATTAGTAATTGAGGAGTGTACTTAGGTAGAAATAATCCTGAACTTGTGCCACTTAGAGATTAAGAGGAATTCAGTCCTATTTCTCTCTAAGCTTCTTGTCAATTACTGAAGAAAAAGCTGTGATACGGATAAGCAGCTTTGGTGCAGGTTTCACTTTTCATCTGAAATAGTTGGCTAGAGTTAGTATCTGCTGATTTCTTGCATGCCTGTTTTTCCCCCGTGCTTTTTGATTCAGATTCCACATTTCAGCTTGCCATCACAAAACAATGAGCCTTGCCAGCTTGGTCTGATACTTAGGGAAATTGCTTCTGTGATTAGATTCAGCCTGGTGAGCCAAACCTTCATGGCAGGGCAGGTGCAAAGAGCTAATCCTGAGTATTGTCCTTACAGTAAAGTCTGGATGCAAATGCTGTTCCAGTGGCGCTTAGCACGAATTGAAGGTGGGAGGATAATTCTTATTTTCAGTCTCTGGTAGGATGTATGTGTTAGTGTTCTCTTGGTTATGTTGTTAGTGACAGACATTGGGAATTGTTAATGCAATGTCAGATACATAATTTCTTTTGTAGGCAGGAAGACATTGTGTAAGGTTTTCATCCTGTTTCCAGACTGCAAATAATTAGTGGTTCTTTTTTCCCTTCTATCACTTCTTATGGCTTGGGTTTTATGGCTATCATCTTTTCCCCTGTGACAATATGAGTGTCGTATATCTCTCTTTACAAATATCCTTAATTAACCTCCCAGCTTACTGTGAGATACTACATAACAGAGTACTATTTGTCACCAGGGCCCCTTTACAACCTATTTACTGAATTTAGAAAATACTCTAAAAGCTTACAAGTCCTTAATTTTTGCAGGTACTTTTTTCCATAATAGGAGCTAATTTACACGTGAGTTTAACTTGTTGGTTGCAAACTGATTTCAGTTGCTTTGTTATATGATTTATTGGGATCATTGTTTCAATCATAACTTCAAGACACTTGGTATTATGAGTGGGATCAGACAAGTTACCCAGCATTTAGATTTGTGGTTTTCTTTCCTTTCAGAAACTGTAATGATGTCTGTGATTCAGCAGAGTGATAATCATTGGGACTTAAGAAAATGAGCTGTTACAAAGGAGTTAACATTTTTCTCAGGTTGTTCTTATCTCTCAAACTGTGGTATAGTCCTGGCTAGTACAAGTTAGTTCTCATGTGTCCTTAACCGTGGATGAGTTTGTCCATCTGCCACATATAAATTTTCAATATGTTCCAACAAATGCCAGTGCTGCCCTGGGTACAGCATACGGCTCTGCAGCTGAAGGAAATTTCTTCATCCCTCCTGTTAAAACTTTGTCTTTAACTTGTAGTCCTCCTGCATGACTTTTATTTTGCAGTGATTTTTCTGCCATAAAACCACTGCATACAGTAATTCAAAATTACACAAATCTGTGGATGTGGGACAGAAGAAAACAAAGTGAATAGCACGCTGTCAGTCTGTTAATTAATCTTGCCCGATCTCCTGGCGTGGAGCGTGGTGGTACCCGGGCAGGTGCACGTGCTGCTTGCTGTGGTGGGCAGGCTCAGGTGCAAACTGGGACCTCCCGACTTGGTGGTACAACTCTTTCACTGTGACATTTAACACTTAAATGTAGTGTGTGTTGTTACTCAGATCACAAAGTAAAAAAAAGAAGGACAAAAAAGAGGACGAATCACAGGGACTGGCTGATCCCGGTGTGTTTCACTGGCTTCTAGGGAAGTTGGTGGCTATTTCTTATTTACCCTTCTGATCTCAAAGCAATCCAGGATTTTCACATCTAGTGGGTAATACTTCTCATAGAGAAACAAGATTCTAACTTCCCTGACTCTTATTTAAAAAAGCCTTTTATAACAAAGTTTCCTTTTCATCACTGGCACTGGTGTTAGAGACAGAGTGCACAGGAACATGACAGAGAAGACTGAGTGAACTCTGCTGATGTCCAACACCAGAAATAGTAGGCTTTGTATGTGCAGCCAAAATATTGCTCATGTCAGGAAAGACTTTGTCATGTACTTTGTGAAGTAAATATGGTCATCTCCATGTCACTACTGTATAGGTAAAAGTATTGAACTGACCTTTTATTTCCTTCCTTTTCTGCATTATTTGGTGCTGAACCACGTACAGTATGTGATGAACTGCATATAGCTGGATGAGTTGAACTTTGTTCTTCCCCTTTGTTAGTTCTTAATGTTTCAAAACATCTCCCATTTAAGAAAAGCTGAAAAATAGCAGAGGAATTTTTTTATGTAGTCCATACTTTGAAATATTATTGAAAAGAAAATTACAGATGAGTGATAGGAAATGGAAATGAAGAGACAGGTTTTGAAGATGCATGATGTGGGGAAGGAGGAAAGAATAGGAAAACCCTTAAAATATAAAATGCCCTTTTCTTTTAAAAAACACTTTAAAAAAGACACCTCAAAAGACCCAATTCTTTTTTCTTAATCACAGTCTTGGGATCTGCAAGTGTTGTTTTTTATTTTTAATAACTAATATCTTTTGGTATTTATCTCTAATTGTCAGACATTTGATTGATAGCAGTAGTGTACTGTAGGTCTAATTAAAATGATAATACACATGGAAGTGGCCAACCAATTCATTTACTTCTCCTCGGTTCTACTTAATTCTGCATTACAGTTTTTCTTGCTTGAAACCAGGAACAGGTGACACACAGCACTGTCAGACAATGCTTGGGTTATTTTAAGAGAACAAATGTATCTCTATATGACAGCAGAAGGCTCTGACACCCAGAAGAAAACCATGAAATAATACACAGGTATCTGTGTATTGTTACCCACCCATTTTTCTTCTATGTGGTTATTTATATATGTATATAAGGATATCTTTCCTTCAGTATACATCCTCCACAGAAGACACTATAGTGTAATAGTTGACATCACTGGTTTAGCTACAGACTATTCAGAAATGTTGAAAAAGTGTTTTCAAGTTCTGTGAAGAGTGTAAGGAGCCCAGGACACAATTTCTTCCCTGTAAGCTCTGAAGTTACTGCTGAGCAGGAGGACTGCTTTGGTTTGGTTCAGCTTTGGAGGAAATATTCACCTGGCTCCCATTCCAGCTGAATATAATATAGAAGATAATTTTCACAGTTTTGACTGAAAAACAGATTACCAGAAGACTCAGTTTCTTCTGAAAGCAAGTGGTTCTACCAGATGAGAACTGTTTTATTTCCTCTGTAAAATAAAGAAACAATGAGTTAATACAAACTATAGCTTTTGGAAAAGGCAAACAGCTTTGGTCCAATTCCTGTAACTAAGATAAGGAAATGTTTGTATTCCTTCAATGGCAAAAGGATCATCTGATTCTGCCCTCCTATAAGCTTTTCCCTCTATTTTAATATTTTTTTATTCTTTCCTTTCTGATGATTTATCTCAAGTTGTGAGTAATGTGAGGGCTTATTTTCAAATGACAGGACTTTTAGTAGCTGTGGATAATGAGATGGAAGTTCTGCTTCTCAATGTATGTTGTGTGATATTGGCATGACTGTTTTACAGAAGACACTTCAGGGAAGTGTCTCCTCAGGGCTAGAAGAAAACTGTTGAATTTATAAGGCCTCTGTTTTCTGCTGTATGGAAAAGGACAACAAAATCTGACTGCATATATGAACTGACATGGGCCAATTGAATATATATCCATAGTCTAAACTACCCCAGTCAGTGGTTTGAAGTGTTTTTGTATGGTATACAGGATCTCAGAAGCTATGCTTTGTATCTTATAAAATAAAATCCTTACAAAATGATTTTATAGTAGCATAAATCTGGAATACCATATTTCTACTGAAATGTGTCCAGTCTTTTTAATATCTTCAACATTTTGCTCATGCTGAACAAACAGTACGTAGAGAGTGTTGTTGAAACTACCATATACATCATGTACCACTGTGATTTTTATGGTGGAAGATGAGTTCATTGTGTCTTCAGTCTTAAGGCTACTTCACTCTTAAGGCCAGACTTAAATTAGCTTTGTTACTGTGGCTGTTCTTGCTTCACAGATTGTCTTGGGTGATTTGCTTTCTGCAATTTTTTGGCCTGTAAATGTTATTTCATGGTGTGTGGCTGGCTCTGAGTTTTATTGGAAGTGAATCATACTTTCTTTTTTAATGTACAGACACTGAGGTGTTTGCAGCGGTAGCGTAACGAAGAAAAGGTTTGTACTCAGTCCATTTTAGGCTTGTGTGGGAGCATTTTTGCACTAATGCTCATCCATTTAATAATTGACTGAGTAACCTCCTGTCTCACTTTTAAACTTTCTTCCTTCTTTTTGATAGGTCTCTGAACAACAACTTTTTTACGTGAATTAACAGAAGTGGAGAGGAGATGGCCAGTTCAGCCCGAGAACACCTGCTTTTTGTGCGACGTCGCAACCCACAGCTCCGGTATACTCTGAGCCCAGAGAATCTGCAGAGCTTGGCCTCTCAGGGCACCATGGCTGAGAACATGAACTTGCAGCGTGCCAACAGTGACACTGATTTAGTGACCTCGGATAGCAGGTCTAGTTTGACAGCCAGTATGTACGAATACACCTTGGGACAATCTCAGAACCTCATCATTTTCTGGGATATTAAGGAAGAAGTAGACCCAACTGACTGGATAGGACTTTATCACATAGGTAAGTCAGAACTGTGTTGTAATATTTTGGTGTGTTTCTTGCTCTTTTACCTCTTCATATTTTCTGTTCTGATACGTGTTGTGGTATACTACATAATTACTCTAAAGATCAAGTTGAGGTAAGATTGCAGAGAATTACCCTGGATTCCTCTTTGCTTTTCTTGTGCAGTGAACTATGCAAAAACATGATTTTAATTAATGTAGATCTGGTTCTACAGTGACCTGCTAGAGGATGAAATGCCTTATTCTCAAACAATAAATGTGCATACCATTTCCTGTTTTCACCTTTGCTGGTGGCTGGCTTACAGACTGGAAAATTCAGAGTAAATTCTGAAGGAGTGAGAATTTTTGTTTATGAGGAATTCTTGTAGAAGAAAATCCTCTACAGAGATTCTTTTATGTGCTTTTTGTTGTGCTGTTCAGGATATTTCATAGGAGGGAGCTGGAAAGAGCTCTAGGCTGGCATGCAAGGGCCTGTGGGCTGTGTGTGCATTTGCAAATAATGTGTCTCAAAAGGAGTGGATCGGTAGGTCAAAGCAGTTGGAGCTGAGAGCCTGGCACCAGTTACATATTTGGATTGTGATTTTTCCACTGTGTTATATTTAATCAGGTCCCTAGATGCAAACATCTCTGCTGCATGTGTGTTTTGGACCTGTCCAAGGGACAGTCTTTGTCCCCACTAGGAGCTGGAGCACAGGTAGCACCTGGGTAACTGAAGTGGCATGTGGGGTTTAGTTGCCTTCTCAAGGAATCAGTTCACGTGCACTAAAATTACTCTCTGCTCAGGAAGTGGGACTGATGTGTTGATTTGTTTCAAAATTGTGCTGCTTCTCTGAACCTCATTACTCGTGTAGAAAGGAGCTGTCAATTCAAGCTGCTCGAATCAGGTGTAGCAGAAACTGATGGAAACAGTTCTGACCACTGGAATTTTGGCTGTGCTGGGACTAAGTGTAGTGCAATGAAATTAACCTCAGTAGGATTTTGGAGAGATGCTGTGCTACCTTTTTCCAAGATGTTCCCTCTCTGCACCCCTTAATGTTACATGCTGTGGAGATGCTGTTTCTAGTTCTCTCTTTCTTTTTTTTTGGTTGGATATTGCTTTCCAGCATTACTGCAGCTCCACAAATTATATTGACTTGTGTTGATTCAGTGCTTACCTGGTTATAAAAGCTGTATTGCAGTTGCTCTATGAACTGCAGTATCTCCTGGAATGAACTGTGGATATACACTAACATTTAAATCACCTAAATGAAGTGTCCCCATGATAAACAGAAATGGATCTTCCCAACAGCATTAGCAACTGAAGTGTGATCTCTCCTGCAAAATGCACAGACTGCTAAATGGAGCTTAAGCATTCTAATTTAAATACCTTGAGAGCTTCATCTGCATAAAGGCTTGACCCCTTCCTGTTGTTTTTTGGTGGTTCAGAGCACTTCAGGATTGGTATTGAATATACTAAAGTGCCACAACTCTGTAAAATTCTGGTTGGGTCTGGTTGTAGGCTACAAGTGATTTTTATTTTACTTTCGGGGTTAAAAATATTTCCAATTTCAGTCTGTTGAGTCCCTAACGTACAAAACAATGTTGTTACCACATAGTAAGAATCCTATAAGGAACAGCCAAATTTATGCCTTTTTGGGCCTAACCCCCCCATCATGCTACTGTGTAATACCAGAGTGTGTGAATGTTTTCTTGTTAAATTTGTCTCTACTGCCGCTTGAAATCCATGAGCAGTGGTGAGAGTTTTGTTACTGATTTAAAATAGATCTGAGCAGTCTTTCTTTTAAGACATGTGGTTTCATCATTCTAAATGATGGAATTGTACATTTTTTTTAACGACAGAGAACAGAGACGTAAGGGTGTATTCAGCCTGATAGGCATGCCTGTTATCTTTGATTTAATTTTTTTTATAAGCACTTTCAAGTATTTTAAAAACAAAAGAATATTAAAAAAAATAATCATAAGGGCGTGACCTAAAAAACTTTTAATTTCCATAACTTTTATAGACACAATTAAGGTAAGTTAAATTGCACAGGTGTAATCCAGGATTTTCAGTCCTTTGTAATAATTGCTGTGAAGTACCCCCGGTTTCCACTTACTCCTTTGCAAGTTGAAGACACTTCGTATTTTCTCAGGAGAGGGATGTTAGTTGGTGAATATTTTTGAGAATAAAAGCTCTCAAACACATTATTAACATTTAATGTAATTGCTTGAGGTTATCCATCCTGGTCTCTGTTTAAAAAGAGAATCATTTAACTTACAAAGTCTCTCCTCTGGCAGTGGAAGTTGTGTGTGGTCACTAACACAAGACAGCACTGGGGATGTGCCAGCTTGTGGCTGTACCTCCAATATTCCCCCATGTCTTCTAGTAAAGCACCATTTTTTCAAGGAGCTAGGATCAGAAAAAGGAAAATATTTTGCTCTTATTAAAAAAACCCAAAACCACATTGCACGACCAAAAGCGTAGTCCTGTGGCTTTTTTTTTTTTTTTAATGTTGGTTGTATAATTAGTTGTCATGAAAGCTGAATCAATGTTTTGAGGGGGAAAAATGTGGTTGTTAATTCTGTGAAGAGAAAATAAGCATCCTAAAATGAGCATCATTCAGACCTCAGGCATTTGTACCGAGAGATCTGGCAAATGTCTGAAGCAATCCAGGTACATTTTCACCTCAAGTTACATAGGATTACATCCATTACAAAAGGCATTGAAAATGGCACTCTGGAAACTTGCCTCTTCATTCATTAATTTACTCAATTTGTTTGAGTAAATTTACTCAAATTTACTCTCATTAGTTTTCTGTAATGAGAAGACGATTCTGTGCTTCTGAGTGTGGTTTCATTGCCACTCTCTGGTGGCTCACTAGGAATCCCACCAAAATTCCTTAATCCTTTTCTTTGTAAGAGACTGATCAGAAATCACTGTACACGTTCACCCAGGCAGTGGATGTTGCAGTTGGTCACAAGACTGTGATTGATTTGCAGGTGATTGATTTGCTTACACTAGGGAATAGTAGATGGAGCTTTTTCTAGTACAGTACAACTTCAGTGAAATGTTTGGCCTCCTAAATGCTTATGAAAATAGATGTTACCTTTTTAAAATGAGAAAAGCCTCAGGGGAGAAACACAGAATCATTCTGAAGGACTGATTCTTTATTTTTTTAAGTGCATGTGGATTTTTTTCTGGACTTCTGGCTATTTTTTTAAAAAAGGGAAGGAAGTCATAAATGAACAAATACTTTGTAGAAAAGGCTGTGTATTTTATGAGACATTAAATCACAGGATACTGCTCTGCAGTAACTTTCAGTCTCTCATTTTAAATGGAAAAAGTTGAACCTAACTGAAAAATTCTACAAAGCTCTACATAACTAAATCCATGCTCAGTTTTTCTGCAATTTTTTATTTTAAGGGATGTTTTTAGATATATGTGTGAGTTTGCTCACTTGTACCATACTTGTATCTTCCTCTGTTTCATCATTGTGTATGGTTAAAACATGGTCTGTTTTCTTGCTGAGGGATTGCTTTGTACAGACGTTCTTTTTCCTTTCCAGTGTATTCCTAAGGATTATCAGAAGAAAAGTGTATGTGAGGGACACAGTGTATTCTATGAAGGCAAACATCCTTTTTCCTGGATATTTCTGGTTTTGTACTGGCTGAACTCTTGAAAGTGTCAGTAGCACTTCTTGAACAGTCCCATCCATCAAGTTTTGTTAAAGCAGCTTTCCACCTCCAGAGGCGAGATGTGTGGGGAATGTAGATAACACATCTATAAAAGCACAGAGAGGTGTCCCACTGAGACTACATGCAGGGCAGAAATGTTATTTTCTCTCTTTAGGTAAATCAGGCACTGTTGCATGAAACGTGAAATTGTCAAATCTGAAATACATTTTGAGTTGAGCTTTAAACTTTGCCTAGAATGGACGTTTCACTTCTTCAGGACCAGTTATGAGCATTGTCACTTGGAAGTGACAACAAGGTGGGATGAAGTTTGAAGAGTGGGCTTTTAGTAGAGGTATCGTACCTGTGCTTACTTTGAGAAATAAAGGTAAATTTTCAGTCTTCCTGTCTTGATGAAGAGGAAGGAAGAAGTCCATTTTCTCTCTCTTTTTTTTTTTTTTTTTTAACTAGGATTTAGAGTGAAAATCTTCATCTTTTGAAGTTGTAGAAGACTACAGAATTTAACAAACATCCTGTTAGACCCATGAGGTTTTCTTGTTCAGTACTGACTCAGCTTTTGTTTTGTATATGCCTGTTTTAAAAATTGTTACAAGTGGTATTTAATATATTGGAGGTTGGGTTTTTTTTCCCATTCTATTTAAGAGGAATCTACATTTTGCTATGGCAAGAGTGGGAGTCTTATAGTGAGTGAGGCTGTGCAAAATATTGGACCCAGTTGGAATCAAAAAAGAGAAATGGATGTTCAGTTTGAAGGGTTTATGAGACCTCCCAGTTTTCTTGCTACTGTGTTATTATAGCAACAGAGTTCCAAGACTTCCTTGGAAAGTGAGAACTGCTCAAGAAGACGAGCAGGTGGACTCTGCACTGCTTGTGGGATGCTGAGGGAAGTTGAATCTTGATGAGTTTTATGGGTTGTCATGAAGTTTTATATTTAAAGAAAACAGGAAGTACAAAATAAAGAATATAAAGTCAGGAGAGAGAAGCAAACCCTAATTCTGTTTTAAATGGATTATCTCCCATGGCCGAATTACCTAGATTGGTCTATTTTTGTCCTAATTTACAGAGTCCTATTTATGAGATGCATGCCCTCATTCTAGACATCCTTAGCACATTTAAAATGCTGGCTATCAAAGGTCATTACATTTGTTTCCATCAGCTGCTTTACACAGGCCGTTTGGCTTCTTGTTATGCCTACATCATGGATCCAAAACAGCATTAAAAAATAAAACAAACCCCAAAAAAAACAAAAACCCCCACCCTGATGTGAAGTTATATAGGGCAATTTAGATAGAATCTAGATTTATACTAAGCCTCCTAGGATAATGG